GCTCCTGGGTGACAAGGGCTCTGCAGGAGGCTGTAGCTTACTGTGGGAGGGAGCCAGCCCCAGTGTACAGCTGGGTCCCAAGAGGCCCAGTGGTGCCAGCTCGCTTTCCTCCACAGCTGAGGATGTGAACTGCCCAGCAGTGTCTGTGCTAGCACAGCCAACCAACCAATTATACGCTGCAGATATGGCATACATGCTGTACTCGAATTGTTCACAATCCACATGCAATTCAAAAGCCACCATTTAACCACCCTTGTCATAACCTCAACCTTTCAGAAACTGTGCATTGTCACTGAAACAATTGTTTTCTTACGGTTTCAGGTGCCAAAGGAATCAGTGCACTCCACAAGTTCTATGCCTCCCAGCAGTTCTATTGACTTCAGACAATTGGATCAGCACTGTACAGCTGCTATTCCTGCAGTTTTTCATCATTTGTCCAAGTTTATACAAGGGATAAAACAGAGGGCAATTCGTCTCTTAGCCAAAGGAAAAGAGCTGGCATTTCTCTCTCAGAGCATGAGTTTGATAAGAAGTCTGTGGGATCTGAATAGAGATGCAATTCACTGGGTAAATTCCTAACTTTGCAGAATACAGTATTTTCCTTGGACCAGTTACATTTACAGTAATCATTTTGATACGATCAATTATTATTTAAATAAAATGGAAGCTCTACATCAAAAAACATAACCAATAAGGTAGAAAAACCTTCCTGAAGGGTATCTGAGTCAGAGAGCTACAAGGTCCTGATTTATTGATACGAAACCAGTCAGACTCATCACTGATATCACAATTCCAAAAGACACATGATTCAGCTACAGAACTAAAATGTAGAATTTCTTACATTTTCTTGTCCTTACTGACATAACCTTTTCCTGTGGAATTTCACACTGTAAAAAGCTGTCAATAGACTGAAGACAATTAGGAATATTCCTTCCTTGCTTCTCTGTTGTATGTTCTAAAACGGATGCTGCTAACATTAATCTTGATCTGAAATGTGTATATAGCTCATTCTGATCTCAGTCATAGCACCTTCTTTGCAATGTAGAGTAGTTACTGAAGTTCCAGTATGAAAATATGAACATCTGGGGACAACAAATTTCACTCGTTTGAGGAGCAAGCCAAGGAGAATGTCAGATAAAGGGGAACTGCTTTGGTGTTGATAAACTATATCCATTGCTCTGTTTAGTATGTAACAGTTAGGAGAACAGTTTTCAGACTGCAAATCTGGCTTCCCTGGTGATGAATAAAACAAGCCTGGGGAAAGCAGGGAAGGCAAAAAGTATCCCTTCAGTTAACCACTTACACATATAATTGAGTACAAGCCAAACTGCTGGCAGTCCATGGGATAGTCAGGAAAGGTTTCTTTTTTGGCTAGGATTTGCATTGGTAATGATTCTGCAAGTAGGAAAACTGCCCTGTTGTGACATTTAACTATCAAAGGTCTGTGTTTTGGTAATATGGTGGAAGGAAGAGGCAGAAAACTATCTTCCCCCTTGAAAACGTTCGTGTGAGAAGCAATGGCAAAAAGGTTATTAATATTTCTGTGACGCTTTGAAGTGAATGTTAGATATTTACCCTTGATATAATCATAAATTTCAAGCACTTTCCCATATTATCACATTTTCTTCTGACATTAAATGAGACATGTTGACCCAAAGTGTTCTGTAATATTATTATATATTATTGAAGAGAAGTGATTACACAAACACAGGCAAGTGATTCCTATGTATTACTTACCTTCATCACAAGAGGGTGATAGGGATTTACTAGTAAATTGCCTTAATATTCTGAATGAGAGATGTTATTAAAAAACACAGAAATGTACATTTATTACCATGCTCTGGTAATAATCATTGATCCTAGAGGTGGTTTTTAACCCTCTTGTTTAATTTAGTGTTAGTATAGTCTCCTGTGCTGTGAGCTGCAATATTTAAAACCTCATTAAGCCTATGACCTTGCAGTTAACCTGTTAACTCACTGCTTCCTTCTGTGGTAGCTCTGGAAGCAAAGGATTTAAGCAGTGGAGGTCACCGTATTATTATTGCAACCATCAGCCAGCAGTACACAACCCCACCACCCATTACATAAAGGAAAAATACAGAGTGCCAAGATGAGGACAGAGATACAGGCTTCACATGAGTATGTCTGTCTTGTTGCTGTTGTAGGCAGTTCTCCCAATACCTGTTACCACTATATTCAAGGGAAACAGACTAGAATCAGCCAGGCAGTATCTGGAAAAGTCTACAGCCCTCACCATAGGTAGAATATGCATTTTGTGAGGGACTGATGGTCTAAGGCTCTTCAGAAACTTTGTACAATGTTTGCTGACAATGCATATACCATCTTTATTAAATATTGATGGTTTTCATTCTCCTCACATCTCAATAGCTTACTCTTTCCCATTATGTTTTAGTCTTGTTTACCACAGAGAACAAGTAAACAGTGATTTAAGTGTTCTTGAAATTCATCCAAATACCGTTTAAGTGATGTTATTTCTTAAAACGATTGCATTACTCCCTAAATTAGAGTCAATGAAACATGCTTCTGGAGGTCCATGACAATAGGCATTGTATAATTGGAGAATAATTTACGGTGTAAATACTCCTCTGCCCTGAGCTCTTCTCAAGCCTTAACTCAACTCTGCTAGAGACAAGATAGTACACAGCAGTAGAGATGAGAATGTGATCATCCTGGCCCATGGAGTAGCTCATACACAGCACAAGTCCTGGCTATGGTAATCAACCACCCTTCAAAAAAGCTTTAAACCTTGAGGTGTCTTTGTACATTAGGACAAAATCCATTGGCTGCTCATGTCAGTCTGGGTTTGAGGCACCGATGACTGAAAGACAAGAGTGTGTAATGATCTGAATGGACCATTATTATACACAGTAATAAAGGTGTAAAGGAGCAGCCCATGCCACTGTGTTCATGTATCTTGCTTTTGGCAATCACTCATGGCTGATTGCTTAATGGCAAGCCTTGCTATTAAGATGAAGCTGACAGTAATCCTTTGTAATGACGTACCACAACTCCTTAGTAATCTTAAACTCTGCATGACTCTGTATTGGGCCCTTTGGAAGCTCTCCCTAGTACTCCAAGTGTGCAGGGAGTACAAGCTGAGCCAAGCATGTTCATGGATAAGAGGCAGCTTTGGTATTACACATCCTATAAGCCTAAAATTAGATAGTTTTTAATCTTAGATATGGCGGTGACAAACTTCGCAATTGGTCACAAATCATCTACTTTGCTTTTCACATTTTCAGATTTCTTTATTCTGCAAAAACGTGGGAACTGCTTTGTAGCCTGTGAAATGTTGTTGTGTTTTGATTCTTAGGCATGTGTAATTACAAAGTGTCACACTGCTTTATTTGGAACACACTTAGGTGTGGAAAACCTCCACACCCTGTGGCACCGCACCTCACCCTCAAGCCCTGCCAGTGGTCCTGTCAAGGCCACCAGCATACAATCAACTTGTCTTCAAGTTGCAACTGCTCTTCATAACCCAACAATGCTGCTCTGTGTAGCCAGTATGATTCACAAAATTACCCACACACAACTGCTAAGAGAAAGGGGTAGGAATATGAGCTTTCTTCATTGTTTCTCATGGTTGTAAGGACTTATGTTAAATAAACATATGTGTGGAACGATCAACTGTGGTAAATATAAGACATTTAAATCGAGATGCTGTGAACTTGGGAAACTCACAGGGGCCCTGAGCCATGACCTCTGTATCTTTTCCAGAAGAGCAAGAGGCTGAGGGGAAAAGAGTGCAGAATGATACTCAAAGGGTTAATCCAGGTTTAGCAGTGCCATTACTACCTGTCATGAGGGGTCATGAGTTGCTGTTGCTAGGTGGTTTTTCTGTGATTCTGCATTTGTGCATGTGGGCTGTATTCAGCATTGTTACCTGAATGCCAGAGCTAGCTAAACAAGCTTCTACCAGACAGGAGGTGGAAGTGATTGATAGCCCTAGGCTTGGAAATCAGCAGTTATGTACATACACAGTAACAGCTGAGGAACAGATATGCACAGTTCTGGCCATCCTGGGCACCAGTGTCATTTCACCCCAGGCACACCAGTTTTCTAGACAGATTTGGGTTACTTGGCTGCTCACACCTCAGCATGTAACCAGCAGAAAGCATTCGAGAAGGGCCATGAGCAGAAGGACAGGTTTTCTTTGCAAAACTAAAGGGACGAGGCAAGTGAAAGTCCTGTGAAAGTCATTGCTCAGTACCTTCAGTGTGAGGACAGGCTTTGCCATCCCCAACTTCAGTGTCCCTAGCCCTGCTGTGCTGCGTGGTAAACAGGGCATCAGCCTCTGCAGATGAGGGACACACAGAAGCACTCAGTACATGGGGGCATTTACTCTAGCAGGAGTTGGCCGTTTGGAGAAACATAAAACTTGAAATTCAAGGTTGGTGTATAGTATGTTTATGAAGATTAACTAACTTCAAACTTACGCTCATAAGCCAAATGCAGTATGCACCGAGAAAAAACGTTATTCTGTTGTATGTCAAAAAGGTATTAATATTTTCTCTAACAGAAGCAAACACTGTAACACGTTACTCCTCCTAGCACCCCTCATACTGGAAAGGATTTATTACTGTAATGCCTCAATCTTGTAGAGGATAGTTTAAGGACACACCTGAGGACCCCGAGGACTCAGAAGCCAACAAGGCAGATTTTTGTTTTTACATTCCACAATTTACGACTGAAGAAACGATTACACCTCCCTGCCTCGAGGCTGGCCTGAAGGTGCCCTGGAGGGCCAGGGCCAGCCACACGACCCTCAGCCCGGGCAGCCGGAAGAGGCGTTCACAGTAATGGCTCCTTCCTGCACCGACTCCCGGCCTCCTCAGCGGACAGCACATCTCGACGACCCAGCCACCCCGTCCCGCCTTCTTCACGAGGATGCGAGGCCGCGCCCTTACTCAATATGGCCGCCAGCCTCCGCTGTCTTGGATGGGCTTTGAAGCCATAGCACTGCCGGGTAAGATGGCGGCCATTTACCTGAGGACCTTGCCCTCGGTCAACATGGCTGCCGCTCAGCTATTGCTTCTGACGTCAGTGAAGCCAGTTTGCCATCAGTCAAGATGGCGGCCCCCAGCCAGTGGCGGAGCTCCGTGGCGCGGCGGCTGTGGTGAGGGTACGGGGCGTGGGGCTGTGCTGGCGGCGGGGCCCGAGCTAGCAGCCGGGAGAAACGAGGCGAGGGGAGGGGGAAAGAAGGCTCCCGCAGCGCAGCCGCTTGTGTGGAGCTGAGCGCCGGCCGTGAAATGGACTGGCGGGGCCTGGCGGGGGCCGCGGTGGTGTCCTGTGGACTCGGCCATGGTTTGTCAGGGAGCGGGGCCGGTTGGGGTGCGCCTCTTGGGCCGCGGGGAAGGGGCCTGCAGGCTGCGAGAATCCAGCCGGTGGTGTCCCGGGGGAAGCGGCGTGGCCGGGCGCGGTACGGCTCTGCTGGCCCCGGGATCCCTGAGAGCCATTGGTGCCGCTGCAAGGAAAGGCGCTTGTTTTTTATTGCCGTAGTAAGGGCAGAAGCTGCTGCCTTGAGCTGTCCCTGTAAGCCTCAGAAGTTGCTTTGTGAGTGATGATCTGCCTGGCTTGTCTCGACAGATGCACCCCGATGGTGAACAGCGTCGAGTTTCCATGTGGAAACCAGTGTGCAGGTTGAACCACCAGCTCCCTTCATGATCTCTTCAGAACTCGCATTTTGTGCCTGTATTCTACTCGGACACTTAGCCAGGGGGACTTTTGAGAGTATTTTCTTAACCACATAAACAGAGGTCATAGCCATCACTGCTGTTATGGCCTGGGTACAAGCTGCAGTCAGCCAATCCAGTGAGGATATATTTGATGAAGATGCAGATGAGATGTGTCTACTACAGAAAGAATGGAATAGCACCATGAAAAAAAGATTGAAGGTAATATTACAGCAGTGGTTTAATAGTCTCTTTAACCATTTCAGCTATTTTGATACATACCTCGGTATACATGTGGCTTATTTAAAGAGGGTGTTGTGGTTTAAACTAAGAGTGGCTGCTTAAAAAGTTATTGTGGCTTAGTTTCTTCTGAATGCCAGGAAAATGTAGCAGGGATTTACAGGAACACTATCCTAGTAGTCATCCAAGCAAAGTACTGTTTTACTAAAAGACGTCAGCTCCCTCTGTACAGTCATGTGCATTTGTAAAAGACAGTGCTCAATTCTGATGTGAGCTGTATGCTTCATACTTGTAGGTATGCCACTGTATTGCAGTATAAATGTAGGGCAACACAGCTAAATAGTGCTAATAGAGAAGTCTGAGATGTTTGGGCTTTTAAGTAGAGTTCTTAATCAGTCAGATGTAAGATTTGTGACTCCACGTGAAACCACAATTGGATGTTGCAGTCTGGGTAGTTCTTTGGCTTATTTACTCTCCTAGTGAAAAGAGTATTTTATGAAAGCTTTTTTCCACAGGCTTTGCCTCCCTGGTATTCTACAGGGAGCAAAACAAGTAAATAAACCCGGGTTACTTCAACAGATACATTACCATTCAGCATGGGACCAGTAGGGCTTGTCTGCTCAAGGGTGAACAGCATTTGGCTGAAGAACATGAATGGAAGCTCTTGTGTAGGCTGTTGATGAGGAAGGGTATTACAACAGAGCTGTTGTATTCTCCAAGGAAAAGTCTCCTGCATGTGAGTCCCTTGAAAAGCCTGGTTCTTTTAAGGGGCGGTTCAGTGTTCTTATACAAAACCCTCTGATATTTTATAAGTAGGTACTGCAAAATCACAGAATGTTATTGATGTTAGAGCTGTATGTTGTGCAAAATAAACATTCTTGTTCCTGGCTATTTCTTCACTCATGAGTGATGCTTTCACTCTTACAACTTGGAATTTTGGTGTGAAAGAAGTTAAGAATTACTCTATGTTACATGGTAATATGATCAGAATATGAAGAAATTAATTTGCATTACAGTCATTGATGGTTTCTCACAGAAAACCGTCACATTGTTTTGTATATTTACATGTGATTTTCTCCATCACCATATTTTTTCTGGTATAACTCTTGAATTAAATGAGATCCAGCAGAGAAGCAAGGCTCAGTAATTGTTTTTGTGGAAACAGGTAGATGGATTACAGACAGAAGAGTACCTCTGCTAAAGGGAGGTTTTGCAGTTTGTGTAGTTTTAGATGGCTAGAAATCTGTCTGTGGTATTTCTTAATGAATTTTTTATAAAGGAGGTGGTTATCGTAAAAGCAAGCACTTTCTTCCAGATTTCTCTTATTTTCTGATGTTTCTAAAAATACTGTCCTTATTTTCAGACCTTCTGGGTCTTTTGGAAGTGGGGGTTTAGCTGGGACAGATGTTAAAATCTAGAAGCTGTAATTTAAGAGGCTGAACACTCGTTTAAGCTTTTTTTATTGTTACAGAATTGTCACAGGTCCAGTTTTTCATCTTGTGAACAACCTGTTTCACTGCTCTTATTACAGGAAGGCTATAGGGATGGAATTGAGGCTGGGAAAGAACTTGCACTCCAGGAAGGCTTTAATCAAGGTTACAGACACGGTGCTGAGCTGATGGTTACATGTGGCCAGTTCAGAGGAACCCTGAAGTAAGTTACGAACTTCTTAAGGTCATATGCGTGTGGAGGGTGTGTGTGAAGGGAGCATGCATTGTAAATCTGTCCAGAGTGAGCAGCCTGAGAATCATCTAGGTCTTGAATACAGGTTGTAGAGTTCTCATTGTTAAAATTCCTCTGTCAGTTGCTCTGCCAAAATTATCTAAATCTACATCTTTAAGCTTAATACTCGGTTCTACTGCTTGAATTTCCCAGAAAATGTGAATGAAATATATGCATTTATATAGTATAAGTATCTTGTCACATTGGTATCAACTTTCAACAACTGGAGGTCTGTGTGAGTACATGTAATCACTTTTTTGTTGTTTTTTTTTAACTTTTCAGTGCTCTCTTATCCTGGTGTCATTTTAATGGACATGATTCTGCTTTAAGTGAGATAAATAATCTTCTTGATGCAGTTGGAAAGCACGAAGAAGATGTGCTGAAGTACCTGAGCTCTACTGAACAACAGCCACATCTTGGACACATTTTAGATTCTGTTCAGGACATGGACCTTAATCACACAGCTCCAGGTGGGACAGAATACAATGAAGTTCAAGCTGGAAAACATGCAGACGGTGGCAGCTCTGGTGAAAACACTTGCAGAAGTAATGGTGACGTTGGTTCCTTGCAGTCTGAATGCAGCAAGGCAAAACTCTGCACAGATCCTGAAAAGTCAACCCTTGCTTGGGTTAAAAAGCAGACTATTTGGCTAATAGAGCAACTGGGCTTATCACTGGATATACTCCATCATGTCCAGAATCTGGAACATTAGGTTTTCTGTTTCATGGTATTTAAAATTATCTCAGCTGTATTTGATTCTCAGTTTGTGGACCATGGCTGATGCATCACTTCATTTTAGGGAAGTCTGATTTTGGTACTTTCCATTAGAGATAATTCTGCAAAACTCCACGTTTTGGCTTCTGGCAAAAAAAAAGAAAAAAAACACCTTGCTTTTAACCTTAAATTTTTTCAGAAAGGGGAAAGGACTTGTGGAGCTTTACAGAGATTTAGTAAACACGTTTCTGTTCTGTGTCAGAAGCTATCATCTCACCCCTACTTTCTCATTTGGAAATGGAGCAAATCCCTTAAATAGCCCCTCTAAATCAGTCCTCTCTAATATCTAAAAAATAAATGCCCTGTGCTATGGACAGCTGTTCTTGCAGAATAAGCTGCTGTTGATGATGTGCTAACTCTGTAAAACAGAGGAAGATTTGCTGCTGATGTGAGTGTTGCGACTCTCTCTAGTCACTGTATAAAATATAGGAATTTTTTGACCATCATATTCTTCCTCTTGTAACCACTGTGCAATGCACTTTCACATTTAAAAACTACTTTTTCCTCCTCATACAGTTCTAGTTATTTCACTTGTGCTGAAAATACACCATTCTCTTTGAATGCAGAATTACTGTTGTTTTGCTGTTAGACCATCTCCTCTCACCCTCTTAGACCACACTGAACATGTTTCCAGTCTAGTGAACTCCTTGTGGTTTTTTTGCCAGTCCCTCTAGCCTGAACTCTCTTTCCCTCATTCCCAGAGTATTTTTCTCAAGCTCTTCAAGGAAGCCAGCCATATTCACCTTCCTTTTTGAACCACGTTGTCAGCCACACACATATAGTTCTGATAGTGCTGTGTTTCTGTGCCAGCATTCTATATTTGACACCTTTTCCTGTCGCTTCCCTTAACTAGTTGCAAATAGCTCTGGTCTGGAAGTCTCTTCTTGATGAATTCCTGTCTCTGTTTTACACTAGTTAAAATGATTTACAGTAAGGAGCTTACTTGTTTTAAGTTGCTTGACTTTCCTTCATGTCTGAGACAAAGCAAGTGTAGACAGAGACAAACTGAAATTTTGAACAGCCAACTGAAATATGCTTTAAAAAAATAAATTCACAAAAACAGTTTTATACTTTGAGACCAGAAAAAAGCTAAGGTAAAAATTGACTTTCAGAGACTGAGTTTACAACTTCCCTACTAAAGATTCTGTTATCCTGCCATGGAGTTGGTGGACTGTAAATTTGGCTGTCATTCAGTACCACTTCTGCATTAGGGGAAAACAACTGCAATTAGGAGTCTCTATGTGCATAGATTACATACATGCAAAACTGTTCATTCATTTTCTCCGTTTATTTAGCATAATGCTGACATGGATAAAGTTGCTTTCCCAGAGGTGCATGTGTCATGTTATACCCTATATCACATATGTTAGACAGAAATATCTTCTGTACTGTGGTAGAATATGGTGCAGACAAAAATAAAGGTTACTAGAGCAGTGGTAGACTTTCCAAATTTGGAAGTTTAAACATGCAAATTCAAGAGCGTTACTTGTGTGTATTTAACAGTGTGCAAAGAGGAAACTCCATTCACAAATCACTAAGTAGATAGTGAGCTTGCCAAGTTTCTGCAAAAGCAATCTACACAACGGAAAATACTTCTTTCTTGTTTGATTATCAAACAATAGATTGTGTGTTTTTCTTATCTATCATAACAGCTTCTGTACTAGCTGTGGAATTACTTTCCTCTGCTCCACACAAAGCTTCTGTACTTACTGTGGGGTTACTTTTTTCTGTGTTATCACCCAGAGTTTCCAGTTTGGCTGTGGAGGGATTTTCTTTTGCGCTGGCTGTAATACTTGGCTTATCCGTCACTACCAAATCTTGCTGACCAGCCACAGAAAGACTGTCTTTGGGACTATCAGAATGTGTAACTTGCTCACATGGTGGTTCAGGTTTCTGTTTCATGTCTGCTTTCACATCTTGTATTTCGCTGGCAGCTTTCACCTTGGCAGCATTCCTGAAAATAGCTCTCATGACAACTGGGACTGACATGCAACTGAAAGAGGAAATAAAAGATTAGTCACTATTACAGACTTTATCCATCCTTCGGCTTACTTCTTTTTTTAGACTGTGGCTGACATCTGAATGATACCTGTGGTGAAAAACCAGCCACTACCTCCTTGCATCTTTTTGCTTCGTACAACCTACTCGTAAATACAGTTTAACTACATGTGCTATAGCGGAAACATGTTAACACAGTGAAATCGAACGCTGGATCTTTGAGCTTAGGGGTGTAAAGCAGCTTTGATAGGAAAAGCAAGGAGGATTTGGTAAAAATAAAGTCATAAGGGTGCTTTTAACGAAAAGCTAAACTAATAATACTGAAATACAGTAATTCTTGCTGAGTTTTATAATTGTAACTTTCATGTTTTGTATAAAACCAGTATAGAGCATATCTTCTCTAAAACACTATCTATACTAGAGTTTTTTTCTCCACCCTAACAATAGCATTACCTGGTTCTGGGAATAATATCTAGTTTTAAAACAGGTTAAAAATCCAGCCTGCATTGATCTTGCTGTCATCAAATAGACACTAGTTGTAGACTGGCTTATGCTAAATTAATTAGCGCTGTCAGTCCTTTCTCTAGAGTATATTCCTAAATCACAGCAACTTGCCTCTCAGAATTTGTTTCAGAATTTGCTTCCGAAACCAAGCAAGACACACTGTTGTAGATATGCCGTATACTCCTCACTTTCTGAAAGGAAGCACTGATTGGTGTGAGATACAGGAAGATCCCTTTCCATGCTATTCTTAAGTTATACCAGTCACGAGACTGTCATCAGCTCAAGTCTTGGGAAAAGCATGTTTACAAAAGAAAAAAGCATCTTTATGAAAGGTAGAACTTTTCATTCAAAAGTATTTCCCTGCCCCATCTGCTTTCTGCTTGAAAGAAACACTTTCCATCACTATTCATGTTTAAAGTTTTTGAAAGAGATACTTAAGACACCAAAGTAACTTATTCTCACTATTGTAACTTCTTATTAGAGTGAAGTTGTCTGGTTGCTGAGCTTATGGCCTTGTGAACACACAAGATCTTTCCATTAAAATGGACACCTGAGGTTTGTTCGCTCCATGTGTTGGGAAATAAAGCTGCTTACCGCTTCACAGCTCTTGTTATAAAGTCATCACTAGAATTGAGAGTTGGGTCTTGAGGATTTAAATGAAGGTGACATTGGATTTCTCTGGAGGTTATAACATCAATTGTCACTAAAAAAGAATAGAATGTAAGCAATTCAAAATAAACAGTTTTATAAACATGAAAAACAAGCCTTTCATTCTCATGCTTCACGAGAGGAAGGACTGAAGTCAATGAGATGGGGCTTGCAGCAGTGCTCTTGTGTAACACTTGTTTTTTTTCCCAGTATACTTAAAAATAACACGTTACAATTTATGAATTAACTGCAGGCCAAGGCAGAATAGGACTTGATTAGTTGTGTTTACTTTCAGTTCTATGCCAAATACTGAACAGTTCAGCAAGCAGTTTATATACAAGTGCTCCTTCTGTTTTCACGGTTTGCACACCATCGAGAGTAGCTCTTAGAATGCTTTAGCAACTGAGAAGCAAGAGCCTGGATAGAATCAAATCTCTTTGTCAGCCCAGTAATGAGTACAGTATCAATTATTCCACACATACCAGAGGCTAAATTCTCATTCGTGGGATGAGGGAAAAAGACAGAAAAGCTGGTGTTCTTGTGTGGTGCCACTTCAAAGTAAAGCAGTTCTGTACCATCTAGAAATAAATCCACTATTTAGTGATATCCATTGACTCTTACAGCTGCATCACATGCCAGAATTAAAAAAATACTGATACAGTAGAATGTAATTCATTACTTTGCCAACTTACTTTATGCTTATAAGAACTGTCAGGCCTAAAGGATTAATACATATATAATATATATATTATTATTATATATATAGACACACATATACAGAATGTAATTCTAGAATTAAGGATTTTTTTATCATTTAAAATACAAGTAGTGATAGCTTTGGCAAGGGAGCAGTAAATCTGTTAACACCCAGCTTAGAAGCTAGTTTCTCTCTAATACTCTGCCATTACTTCCAACCATGTAATTTACCTTCATTTATATGCTTATCAGAGACACAGCTGCTAATAAGACTGTTATATGCCACTTGATGTCGAAGAATCTCTATTACACCAGGCACACTCTGTGGATGGCTAAATGGGATTTTACTGACCAAGGCCCCTGCTGAATCTGATTTTTCTGAGCCATTGTTTAAGAAGTAGCAGTGCTTTGGGCAATCTGGAAGAGACTGAACAACAAATATGGTGATATTTCAAGCACTGAAAACAAAGTTTAAAGCTTGATGATACCAGGCAACTGCATGATCTGACAACACAAATAATTTTGGAAGACATGTTGCTAGCATGTCCATCATGTCTTTGCATTTCAGTAGAAATATAATCCTTAGAGGAAGCAAAATGAGATATCTCTCCCTCCCAAATGCATCCAAATTAAGTGAATATACCCAGAGCCAAGCGGTCAGGACTTCAAGGGCCACCTATTCTACCAAATACTCTTCAAGAACCTTGTAGGCTATAGAAATGTTAACAACCAAAACCCCTCAAAAGAATGTCATAGTAGTGCTGCTTGACATCACTACGGCTTTCTTTAGAGAAGCTTGTTTGATTAGAATCTCCTGATTAGATCTCCTGATGATTCATGTGGAGAGGAGGAGAGGAGATAGTAAGAAAAATTTGCCACCTGTCCATGTCAACAGTGATTCTCTGACAAAATTAGAAGCGTGATATGGTATTGTTACCTATTTCTGGATGCCAAGTGGCAACTGTCACCTTAAGAACAGGGCAGGGCAGTTAATTAGCAGGGTCTACATTAAGAAAAGCTGAAAAGCAGAGTAGAACAGTTTTTCTTTGTGTGTTCATGGAGCAAAAGGGTTTCCACTATATTCCTTTTGAGGTTAGAAATTTAGTAATTTATTCTTAGAAGTAAAACCTTTAAACTCAGAAGTGAAGCAATCTTCTAGCAAGTACTAATATTTTAGGGGGTTGCTGAAATTACAGAGCTTTTTGTGTGTGTCTAATGGAAATTAAAAGTTTGTCTTAAGGGCTTTATAGACGAAAGCTTTGCTACATCTCATTTTAGCATGGTGTAAGCTTGCTACTACCACCAACTCAAAGTCCAGGAACTATGTAGGCAATGGGCTCTGCTACCACTGTTAGTAGAAGAGAAAGAAGTGTCCTTATCTTTTGTTGCCATTAATTGTAAAATTAATGTTTCTTAGCAAAAAAAGTAGATCATTGAAGCTTGACCTTTAGCTGCCCTGTACGTTAAATCTGGCAGAAAGCCACCATTTTCTATTGTAAGTTTTTATCTCTACAACTAATGCAGCCTAAATTAAGTATTTAGTTATTAAAAGGGAAGCCATCTATAGTTAAACCATCATGGCTCTAGACTGTAATTGACATCGCTGTTATAACACTTCACACTTCTCCTCCTGCCAGTCCCTTTAAAAGGAATCAGTATTCTCAGTGTTACCTAATCAATAAATCTTTTTTTGTTAAAACAGCATGATATGCAGCGTGACATGCAGCATGATAAAGACCTTCAAAAGTCTAGGTAAGCACCATCTTGAGACTTGCTTCTTACACCAGTCAATAGGTTTCCTTCTTTTTAAGGCATTAATGGTAAAGTTCTGAGCAATTTTTACAACAGTAAGTATTTGGGTTACAGGCAGACAAATTAGTATGACTTCAACAGCCATGCACGCAGTGTTTCATTAATGAGGATGAGAAGCTCACTTACTTGAAAGGGGCTACCACTGTTTCATAAATAATTTGAACTATTTCCTAAGGAGCACTTAAATAATATTGGGATTCTGGGAAGTCTGCACTGCTTGCTTATGGGGAAATACAGTTCAGTATGTATCTTGCACAAGGGCAAAGTGTGTGTCAAACACTATACTCACCACAAAGAAATGGGATTTGTATGTAGACACATCTTCGCTGCCTTTCTCTTTAAGGGTAGACTGAACAATCAATTCATACAGAGGAGCTAGTTTCAAGCCAGTAATCTGAATTCCTGAAACCAGGTGATTTTTTTAAATTAGCATTTAGGTTATGACTGCACATGAAAGCCTATATTAAAAACAAACCCAATATTTTGAAAAGATCAAAACATCCATCTCCTTTCTTACCCCCTTTTTTGCTAATGGACATTTGAGGTAGAGTGTTTAACAGCTTTGCCTGTAATTTGTGATACTTTTCTTCTTCTTTTGCACTGGTTGCTAGAATGTTACACTTGAGCTGATAGAACAAAACAAGTTCTGCCCCAGAAATCAGTTTTCCTTCTTACAACATTCACACAGGGAAATAAAAGGTGAATAGGCAGTGCATAGTCACAGAAAAGTCTTAGTCTTAAAAACAATTACTTAGTTACTTAGTCTTAAAAACAATTAGAACATGCCTGTCAGCCTCTGTATCATTTCAATACTGGATAAGGACATAGGAATAGGCTGGTGAAACTTCAACACAAAGAAAGCTGGCAAATCCATGCTGAGTTCATCAGTCAGTGGCAAAAAAACAGGGTTGCTGAGGGAAAAGAAAAAGAATGAAAGCTTGATACAAAAATTGACATAGCAAGGTCTTGTAGTGCAAGGCCACTATCAGGTCCCTTTGCAGTTTACTACATTCCATACTTTCTGTCTTGAGAAAAGTTTTGCTATATATATATGCAGCTACAACCTTTAACATTGTAAAACAAGGTTAATGTAAAGACTGGAAGAAAGGAAAAGTGAGCCATGGGAAACTGAGGAACAGTGCACAAGGGTGTTAGCTATAAATCTTCTATAGCGATATTTTGGAGAAGGACTGACACTGAAGTATAGAGATCAGGTGTCAGTACCGATGGTGGGATGACAAACTGTTTTGTATAGTTAAGGTTCAATTTCTCTCTATATATCTTCTGGCTTCAAATCTATGAATAAATCCATAGTTCAATGTAATTGACACAGCTAAATACAAACACAATAACTTTATATTCCATTTGGGAAATACGTAAAAGCCAAAGGTTATAGCTGGTGTAGCTGGGGAGCATAACATCATCAATAGAACAGAGCTTCCTGTTTTAGCACAGGCTAAATGTAAGTTATGCTGAGGTTAGTGCTGATGACTTGTAAATCCATTTCTGTACTGAGAAGTGTCCAGAGCCTCACCCATCCTCTCCGCCTTGAGAATCTGCAAGCAGTGGAGAAAGAGAAAGTTTGTGGAGCGTATCTGTGCCTTCAACAGTTACAGCTGTCTTTGTTCCACATACCTGGGAACCTGAGGGAGAAAGAGAACTGCATTATTTTCCTTGTGTCAGTGTAGATTAAACCTGTGCATACAAAACATGCAATCGGAAGGTCTTTTAAAAGTCAGGTCCAGTTGAGAGCCTCATTGGCTTGGGCAGCAAGGAGAATGCTGCATAGACCATACCAAAAATGCAAAAGCAATAGCTGCTTTTGGAATATGCCATGAAATAGATCAAACAACCACCATTTTCATTCTGGCTAGGCAGTTAATTTGTTTGATATCACTCTTACTTCAGTTTGGGTCAACAGCCAAGAAATGGGAAAGTAGTTTCCTGATGTACGTTATGCTGAAGTGCGTCACATAAATCATTCTGCTAAACTAGAGTTTTAAGTCTTATTTCTGAGTTTAATTAATGAACTTAATGAAACAGCACTGAAAAAATTATCACGAGTTATTTCTGTTTTTCTAGCCTTACCAGGATTTAGTTCTTCTTCCAAAATTTGATAAGGAGAAATATAAAATTCAATGTTCATAGGTGTTCCTGAGGAATAAAAAAAATAGTTACTACACAGGTCACTACAAGGCATCTTGCACAAAGGGGAACAGAACAGGAACAGTATAGGTGGGCAGAAGGGGATTCCTCGTAAGTGTACACCTCTAATTACAGTATATGCTCAAAATACAGTATATGTCAGGATTTAACAGTTAAACCCTCAGTCATCATATATCTTTGAAAAGATTAGAATCAGTTTTTATTTCTTGCACAATAACCTGTTGTTCAGCCTAAAATATACTAGCTAAACTAGAGCTTTCAGTGTCTAGCTGGAAAGAGAAGGGAAAGTTGTAATACTTGTATAAAGGACACTTAACATCAAGCTGTGCAACAGGATAGTGGTAGCATGTATTAAAATTACTTTTATGAACTAGAAAGCATTAAAGCTTGCTTCTGACAGTGTAGATGAGCCAAAAAATCCTTATCAACTGACTGTATTTGCCATTTATGCAACATGAGGATTTTCTCAGCTACCACTGCTGTCATCTCATGGTTACTCCCAAACTGTGGTTTCCCACATCACCTCAGAATATTACTACCTTTGTTTTTAGGCTGCTGCAAAGTCAGTATTGTAGGAAGTGATAAACCACCTGGCTTTTCTGTATTGTTTCCTTCTGTATGTCTGCACACCATGTGAGAATACAGACAAGCTAAATCCCTACAGCATGTTTTATCATGATGAATCTTTACTGTAAACAAAGATAAGCAACAAAACAAAAGATCAAGTAAAAATAGTAGGAGTTTTTATTACAATTCTTTGAATTCAGAAAAAGAAAAAAAAATCACCTCCAGCTCTTGGCACCAGGTGTCCTACTTTTCCATGAAGTACTTCTATGATTCTGTTTACATCCTCTGATCTAGTTCAAAACACATCTTGATTAGTGTTTCCTGAGTTGCAGTGCTTGCTCGGCTCATGTAAAGGATAATTTGCACCCTTAATCAAAGGGAGACAGTGCTTTCTTGGAAGTAGATTGTGTCTTCATTTGTTATGACAGCTTCCAAAACACCGTAATTCCATTCATGCTTTACTCCTAAGACTTGGGCTTCCAGTTTCACCCCTGTATCTGAGCTGTTTCATGTTGCAATTTAATGTGCTATTTAGCAGAAATGAAGTGGGACAAAAACATTGGAGTGGCAGGTCGAACAAAGAGTGAGGAAATAAACTGCATAATTTAACTCCAACAGAACCAATCTCTAAGCACAAATGTGACCATACAGCTGAATATACAGCCATACAATTATATGGTTGTGTATTAAAACTCTGCAGTGCATTAACTTACATCATAGATGGATGAATAATCTGTTCAACGCATAAATAATATTTACTGAGATATCAGTGATCAGCAAGGATATAGTATATTTATTCACAGAGTTAGTATGCTTCATAAAGGAACACTGTACAAAAATAAATCAAGGGTGTGTTTCAAGTTACAAAATGCTTGCTGAGGGCAAGATATCAGAAAAGATGCTTCAAAAATCCAGAAGGAAAACACTGCCCTCAACTGTTACTCTTAAAAGAATTAAAATCATCGTACAACTACCAGAAGGTTTAGGAAAATCTGTTCCCCATCTGTCTGTAATTCTACCCTTTGAAAAAAGAAATGAGAAAAGGAAGGATAGAAGAAAAGGTAGCATCCACTACTCCTCATCTAAAACCTGAGTTTTGATGCTCAAACAGCAGGACCCCAAAAGGGATATTTTACGTCTGCCACAGGGAGATCCAAATGTGACTGCGGATTTTCAGGCGCACTGTTTGCTCCCGTGGGTGGTCACATGCACACACACACCCAAGCTCTGCTCTAACAAGTCTCCTAGATAAAGCACATGAGTTCAGTAGATGGTCTTGTTTGGCGTGCCTGGTTGACAAACTGCAGAAAAGCTTCAGGCTTTCCAGTGCAAGAAAACTCATTAACCTTCAACACGCTTCTCTATAATTAGATCAGTTAATTTGGTTTTTAGTGAAATGAAGGGGTGGAGGGAAGGGTAGAAAGAGGGAGACTTCAAGTTACCTGTGCAGAAGAGACATTGAATAGAGATCTTTTTCAAGGGCCTGCAAAGCATGGTATCCCTTAGCTTTCATTTCACTGGGAGAGAAAGAACACAAAGTATTATTTCTGTAAGTAAACAATAGCTAGGGTATGGATTGTAAGTTTTCAAGTAAAAACTAATTGCAACCTGTCTCCTGGAATTTGATACATGTTTGACAGCTCTTCTAGAATCTTTCCAAAGGCATCATAGTTCTTCATCCTACCAAAAAGAAAAAACTGCTGTCATGCTAGTAAATGAGATGGATAATCACAGAATGGTTTGGGTTGGAAAGGACTTTCAGATCATTTAGTTCCAGCACCCTGCCATGGGCAGGGACACCTTCCATTAGACCAGGTTGCTCCAAGCCCCGTCCAACCTGGCCTTGAACACTGCCAGGAATGGGGCAGCCACAGCTTCTCTGGGCAACCTGTGCCAGCGCCTCAGCACCCTCACAGGGAAGAACTTCTTCCTTTTATCTAACCTGAACTTCCCCTGTTTAAGTTTAAACCCATTGCCCCTTGTCCTATCACTACAGTCCCTAATGAAGAGTCCCTCTCCAGCATTCTTGTAAGCCCCCTTCAGATATTGGAAGGCTGCTGAGGTCTCCATGCAGCTTCTCTTCTCCAAGCTAAACAGCCCAAATTTTCTCAGCCTGCCTTCATATGGGAGGTGCTCTTTTATATCTAACTTGCTAGAAAAAGCACTATGTTAGAGTGATGTAGGCCTCCTCCTTATCAGATCTTACAGTAGCAGTACTCCTTTTAAATTTCTTAGAAGACAACAGGAAATACAAATCCTTGGTTCTGTTGCAAATATAATTACAGCCAACACTGGTTAAACATGCACTACTGAAAGCAATAAATGTGCATGATACACAAATTTGACAGCTCATCAGCTGCAAAGCACTTTTCCTGATGTTTCAATAAAGCTGGTCAAATAGTAACACTTCCTTAATACAATGCACTTGTACGTTGTTCTTTTCATCAAACTATCAAGGGTTGTATTAATACTGCATTTCAGTGCAGTGAGAAAGACAGATGTTAAATACAATTGGTAGATACATCAATCCAAAAAGAAGAACAAGGGACAAGTGGCTTGCTTAAGTTTGTGAAGGAATGGTTCAGACTGCTCACTAATCCAGAATTCCTGCAGCTTCTGACTAGCTGTGACAGCCTGGAGCTCTGCTTGGACCAAGCCACCAGGTATTTACTTACTTGCTTAAATGGATTTTTCAAGCCTTACTAAACTCTCTAGTGCTGCAGTTACAGAGATCTGTACTCAGGAAGACATACCTTCCCCTTCTGTGCAGGTGTGGCTGCAATGTGGAACAGCAGAGAACCCAAATAAGCCTGCCTGGACTTTCACACTGAGACAAATCCTTTCCAGACAGAAACCTAAACAAGTCACTTGGCTCTTCCATGACCCTTTCCAGCTGGACTAGGAATTCCTTTCAATTCAACAAGAGACTCTGTACATGATTCTTTACCTTAGATGCTGTGCCATGTCATCGCAAACCTACAGGAATAAGAGAGAGGAGTTTCTTGTTTCTTACCATCCTTTGTGAAAAATCTCTTAAAGGCATTTCACTGGTAACCATAAGATTGTTCCTTGCCCATTACTGTTAATTAGCTGAATGGTTGGCTTAAAAAAGTAAAAAACAAAAAACAACAAACACCAGACTAACATTAAAATAAATAAAACACAATATTAATATAATAATTAGAAGGACAAAGGCTCTGTGGAAAGAGGATAAAACTGACAGGATAAAGCTAACAGCTTGTTGTTAAATTCTTCCATGGGGGAAAAAAAAAGAAAAAAAATCATCTTTGCCAGTTTTCCTTTTATTGACATTACTAAAAGTCTGAATATGCATTCCCATCCTAATAATATCACCCAGCACTCATTGATCAACAGCCCTGTGCTGGTGAAGAAAAACAACTTGAAATTCCTGGGCCTACTGCAACTGAAAAACTGGGACTAAATTAACTCCAAATGAATGTCACAATTTGGATACTTACTGATAAAAATCAGACTTTCTGCTCCCCGCCCCCCCCCCCCAGCAGCTTGTTATTTCTTTGATCTGAAGGATCTTACATCTGACGGACGAACAACTACAGAACATGGAATGTGAACTGCAGAGTGACATTTTGCCAATGTTTTGATGGAAATTTTGCAAGAACAACATCCTGGTAGCAGGAATGCACATACTCCTAAAGAAGGCAGAAAAAAAATCCCAGAATCTCTGGTAACAGTTCCAAGACATTCATTGGGAATATATATCGCACTACACCTTGGCAGGAAAGTATTTTAAGACCCTGTTATTTACTGTATGTTAATAACACCAAAGTGTGAGAATGTAAGTATTTTTGCATTGGAGACCAAGTGTGAAACTACAGGGAGGTGTGAGACAGAGAAAATGAACTTTACCACAGGAGCATCTCCAAGGTGAGCTAACTTCACATCTACCACCTTTCCATCCATCTCCAGCTGAACTTCTACGTAAAACATGTTTGATGTTATGTAGCAGGTAGTCCCACTGGGGCTAACATGAGCATTAAGCCTGAGGGGAGAGGAAAGAGAGAATGAAAAATCCAACCAAACAAACAAAAGAAGGCTTGTATATCTAAAACTTCTGTCACACAAAGAAAGGAAATGGGGATAGTTCACTTGGTCGTGGGAAAAGACACCAGGGATGCTTCAAAAATAACTTTTCCTTGGCTCAGCTTCTGAAAACTGTGCAACCAGGCAATATATCGGTGCTCTGCTCTTTGCATTTTCATGTAGTTTGCTGAAAATTAGTCACCTCTGTCTGTAGCTTTGGGACCTAGGCATTCATGCCTTCCCTTCAACCAGCAACTTCCTCTATAAACAGCAAAGCAAAATTGGCAGTTGTGCCCCTTCTGAGTAATACACCAAGCTAAACAAGAATATTGTTGGCAAGCCATTGAGATGGTATTCCTCACTGGACTTGAGGCCATGCTTGCTCATTTGCCTTTATTCATAAACAAACTTACCCTTTTTGTTTGGATAAAGATTCCAATCTGTTCATCACAGAAAACAAAGGTTTAGCTGCAAAAAAATGGAAATGTTATTTAATCAGGCTGCAATGATCAAGAAGTAGAACCAGTATTACCCTGCTTTAAAGGGTATGGTTTAGGTAATGAGGAAACAGTATCTCTTGCATGACTTCTTGTTATTAATGACAACTCTTACCCTAATGAGGGCTGCGCTGGGTAGAGCTTATTCGCAGATTTTGAGGATATTTATAGCCTGAAGGCTTAGCCCAAAGATGAGTCACAAGTCCCTTGTGCCATATCCACCTCTATGTCTGTACATTTGACCCCTTTGTACAGAACATCGTCAATAGAGAAGGATGGGAGATTCCCTAGAATATTATATTAAAAAATACACTCTTGAGTTATCTGACAGCTCATTACCATTTATCATCCTCTGTATCTTCTCCATGCAAGAGAGCAATGGACCATCTGGAGCATTGCTGTCAGGCTGACGTGGCTTATCCTAGCACATTTGTGAAAACAAGACAGAGAAAGACTCCTTAAATTACTAGCCAAAGAAGAATATCACTTCAAGACAGAACACACATGCCCAGTACAACAAAACACTATTTACTTCTTTTTGTCAAACATAGAGGTGACCTATGATTCTAGCTAGCTCTGAAGTGGAAGTACTGAATGGATTTGCGAAGACCACACTGTGCAGTAGTTGTGTATCAGAGGTCTTTGGAGCAGGGAGTGGCTCTCCATTCCTTTTTCTTTTGAGGCGAACACAAGCTATGCCAGCTAATTTCACCATGATACTAGAGGTCAACTAAGAAATTACTTAGGTTTTCATTTTAGGAGGAATCTGCCTGAGTAAAAAGGAGAGATCAGTAAGTGCCGTAGCTGTACTTGGTTAGACTCAGGGAGCAAGTCCCAGCTGAAGATACTAACTTGAGTAGCAAGCGAACTCTCCCAGCTTCTCTTCTAGCTCTTGCCTGAAAACTTCTCATACTTCACACTTCAGTTCACAAAGAACATTCACTGCTGAAAAGTTTTCACTATGTTCAGCCTCAGGACATTGTTTTCAGAGTAAGGCTTTAGTTCAGCATTAATGAAAAGAAGCATGGAAACAAATGGGACTTTTATCCTAAACTCACAGTGGTTGTGTAATCTGCTTTTTACAAAGATGATTCTTAAATAGAATTAGTTACTGGAAGGGTGAGAAGCACGGAATAGCTTAAGGTATATCACAGCAGGAGAGAGGCTAGATAGCAAGTTTCTGACCAGTTTCTGAAAAAGTCTTTTCTCCTAGTCCTATGGGCAAGAAATTATCTTTACATACTATGAATGTGCTAATCATAATGAATGGAAAATAACCTGAAATACTGGACAATAGGAGCTAACTCCTGAAGTTAAAATAATGCAAGAAGCAACCTCTGAAGTGTTAAAATAATGCAGGAAAGGTTTTGCTGCTTGTTTTGTATTTTTTTTTTTTAATCCGGTGCTGTAACACCACAGATCCTTCTCTCACCTAATCTGCAATTCTTACCATGCAAAAATGGACAAGTTTCAGAGTTTCAGTCCATGGTCTTTGCTGATATTTTAAACGCAGCTTTTCCATTAAAGCATTGGTAGAACTGCCATTGGTAGCACCTGAAAAACATGTCAAAATGTTCTAAATATAATGGCATGTATTTACATCGGCAACCAGAAATGTTGGAGGAGGAAAAATATCAAAACTTGCAAAGGACATAGGTGTTAGGCTTGAAAAGAGGAGGTAGGAAAAAAATAATGTTTTGGTTGAATTTTGCATACAAGTATCGAATTTTTGCAAGACTTCTGACAGAAAAGGGTGGGGAGATTTTATATAGGCAAGTATTCTCATTATTAAATACTGAGATGCAGCCTGATCTTCAGCCTATTAAACAATGAGGCTTTCTTTACATGTGCACAATCTCATCTGTATTCTTAATAAACACCAAGGCCTTGCCATGGGTTTCAGGCATCCAGATTTCTACATTCACCTAGAGCTCATTAGAGCTAATTTTGATTAGAGATGAAAAATAAGAATTTTTTACAGTGAGTGTGTGAAACACTGCAACAGGTTGAGGAGGTGGCAGATCCCCCATCCCTGAAACATTCAAGGCCAGGCTGTACAGGGCTCTGAGGAGCCTGATCTAGTGGAAAATGCCCCTGTTTTTTTTTCTGGGGGGGGGAAAGAGCAGGGAATGGGACTAGATGATGACCTTTGAAGGTCTCTTTCAACCCCAACTGTTCCATGATTTTGAAGAAGGATAATCTCCATGCAGAGCTGCAACTTTGGTTTGGTTTTGTTTGGTTTTTTCTCTCATTGGGGTGGCAAGGAAGGAGAACCTGGCCAGGAGAAGCAACATTTTATATCTATCTTTCTGGGTTTACACAAAATCAGAGGCTCAAAGAAAGCTGTTTGTTTTGTTTTGTTCGTTTTTTTTTTTCTGGGACATGGCGCATCCATAACCACTAATTCCATCATGAATAAACCTGGAGTGAAATTCCTAATACATCAGCCTGAGAAAGACAAGACTCCAGACTGATTATTAAGAGGAAATTGAGCCCCTGCAACGTGCCCCTGCACTCTGCTTTGCCCTTTAGCACAAGAAGGAACATTGCCAAGTGCTTCCTTCACCTAGAGGATACGACAGCCACAGAGAATTTTCCCCTCTGAGCTAGCAGCACTTCAGGGGGGCAGGGAGACAAACTAGGAGAGAAATCTCTATACACTTTGCATACACCAAGCAGGGATGGTGAGTGGGGGCTAATAGCATCTTCCTCCTGATGGGAGTATGAGAGAGCAGAAGCCCTACAGGAGGACTGCAGCCCCTCCTCTACATCCACCTCCATCCACACCACAAGAGACCACAGCTCCTACTTGTAGCACTTGCACCACAGCACCTACAGGTGCTGCGCAGGGCAGTAGACTTGCTCCCTCACAAAACTGGTCCCCAAGAGCTAGTGTTTGAAATTGAGAAGCTCAATAAGCACAGCAAGATCATCTCTCAACTCAGAGAATTTTTAGGAGTGAGCACTCTGTAGACCACGCTCTCCCACACCCGAGTCCTAAGGAGAAGGACTGAATTTAACTGGGGTACAAAAGCAACAATCATTCAGCAAAACAGGGAAACATTCCATAAAGGAGCTTTTAATCTGACTCAGGGGTGGAAAGCATGGGGAGAGTCTATAGCTATCTATAATATTTGCATTGTATTTGTGCATTTTCCTGGTCACCATGTTGCTAGTCTCCTTGTACACAGGAATCTGTGCACAATGGCAGCGTGAGGTTCAAGGTTTAATCCTAGACCTTTGTACAGGCACTAGCTTGAAAACTGGTCATGGGGGAATGCCAGATCTACAGCAAGAAGAGCATGTCTCCTACATAAACGTTGTTTGGCAGCATTTCAAGATCTCTCACAGCAAACTTTCTGTTTCCAGCTGCCATCAGTCATGCTGCAGTGTCTGAAATAGTCTTGAAACACGTAACAGAAATGAGTTTGGACTTGCGTGTAGGTACCTGAGTAGAAAGGAAATAGTCCAGTGGCCTCACTAACATTACAGAGAAAACTACATGTGGACCTAGGAATCCTAGGAGAAGTGCAAGATATGTGCCAAGAAGCAGTAGTCGTCTCCAAACAGGCATAAAGTGTATTACTTAGGGAAAGTCAGTGCAGCTGAAAGAGTTAAATTTGTTTGTATTTCAGCTTTTATAAAGGAGATGGAAGGTGATCAAATAAATTGATCTGTGATCTTAATACTGACTCCAGTGGTTTGACAATGTCTTGAATAAGCAGAAAAGCAAATTATTTGCTGACCCTCTTGAAGAGAGCACTTCCAAAATAATGGAGGGGAACGTGCCACTGTTTGCTTTGTCTGCACAACAGCTGTTCTGCAAACAGAGGGCTTTAAGTAATCACAGTTCAGCATGACTGATAAGCCTAAAATTCACTTTAATTTTTAAACACAGAATAATCTTTTCCATTTTGCTCAAATGTATGTATTTAGCTAGATAAATTTGCATGATTTTTCCAGGATAAGGATAGTGCCAGGTTTTCATAACAAGAAAAATATTCAAGGACATATAGTAGCCTCTATACCTACATAAAACTGTAACATTGGCTAAGATCATACATGAGAAACAGCAGCTTCAGCACTGTCAGAAAGCTCCTTGGATCAAGGTGTTGTTCCAGAATTCAGAAATGTTCTATCAAATTACCACACTCAAGAGTTAAGAGTGATGAATAATTAACAATGTTCTAATTATAGCATCTCAGGCATATTAGATACACAGATGTTGAACTGGCTCAGTTCATGGAAAAAAAAACCACAACTGGCCAAGCACTATCATCAGTGTAGAAGAAAACAGGAATTACTGCATGAATCCTGCATGCCCACCTGCTCTACGCTAATCTGTGTTCAGCAAAAACTGCTGCTTAAAGAAGCTTTCATGTGCACAGTTACAATAGAAATAAATCATTCCAGAGAAAATCTTCTCTTACTCTCAAATAATTGGAGGTTATCTTATCCCCTTTTAAAGGGTTTTAACCCTGCTTTAGCAGGTATGCTTCTTCAGGGGACCTTTTAAAAACTGCATTATTATTACTGCTTTGCTTATTTTTGTCTTCGTTTTCTGCCTCTTGCTAAATTCCTGACTCTGTAACACACTTCACGATGCATGCCCTGGGAACATTGTGATTCATATGAAAATAACATTTTGTAATTTTACAGTTCTTCTATTTCTGATGACTTTTTTTTATTTAATTGAATCGTACTTGGTTTCTCTGAGAAAGGATCAACACATTTTCCATTCATATTCTTGCATGAATTCAAGCAAACTCTTTCAGTGAAGATACTTTAGACTTAACAGAGAACAAGGGAAAACTTTGTATAGTGTTGATATATTTCAATTATAGCAATTTGGAAAAGATTCCAGGAATTCCATACTCAGTGCAACACTGGTGTATTTTTTTGTTCCTGGTTTCTTGGGGGGGTGTTGTTTTTTTTTTTTATGAATCTTACACCCAGTCTTGAAGTTATTTCATCTAAAGAATGAAAATCAAAATAAATCACCAACAGTATCTTCACCGGCCTGCTTCCAGCTCCTTCTTGGAATGGCATCTTTCCAGAATCCCTCAGCTGAACTGTTAATCAGAGAAACCAGCAGCCACATAACAGCCCATAGTAACTCTAAATACAGAACTGGGGCCTGGGGCAGCCAGTGAACACGAGTGGTTCTGGTCAGTACTGCAGGATGCGTAAGAGGTGTTGCTGTGATTATCTGAATTGATACCCGGTCAGGAGATCAGAGGTAATATTAGGTTATTTCACAAAGTGCCATGGGATTTCAGAGTGATCAGCAGTGACAGGGCTATAAAATAAGCATGTAACTGGAATGTGAATATAAAACATGGTGAGCATTCAGACAAGCCCTGTATCTATCCTAGGTGCTCCTCCCTCTAAGGTAGGCTTAACCCAGTGCTGCTTAGCTTTTATGAATCACAACTTAGTCTGATACAGTCTGTAGTTTATGGCTTTACAACCCATAAATACTACAATATCTTTTGTCATCTTCACTCTCTACATCAACTCCACAGTTATGGATTGTAAACATTTAGTTCCTGAGAATAACATCAGAATGCTGATATCTGCATTTCTTTCATTGTAGCCATACAGACTAAACAAGTTTTACTTCACAATTTACTGTATAGCCTGAGGCACTTAACACTTGCAGGCTTTGACTATTTCCTACTCCTTTACTGAGAGCGACTAAGATCCTTCAAAGCTGAAAGCTATATAGACAACCATCAAAAAGCTAGGTTCATAGCAAACAGCCATGGATGAAGAAATGCATTGACACTGACAGGGGTATCTTTTTCTCAGAACATAGTCAAGATATGGATAACATTTGATTTCTACTTGACATGAGCATTACAATCTCCAAGTAATTCTTATCTAAGTCTTTTCCCAAAGGTACTAGGGGCATGCAACCATGATTTAAATACCCACATGAATGAACATGGGAGGGCTGGCTTCACATGCACACAGTTTCCCTTTACAAGGTTTCATAGGACACTATAATGTGTTCATAACTGAACATTTGTTGCTTATCCCACACCTCTCATCTTTTAAAGACTTTTCTGATAATTTTTAAAACTAAAATCAGGCATTGCACGATTGTTCATGTTCTTTACTGACATCAGTCAGCTGAAATCAATGAACCCCATTACTTCAGAGCTGTGCTTCACGGAGCTTTCCACCAGTATGTGTCAAAGCTAACTGCATGGAGGCCAAATTATCTTCTTTTTCCAGACTGGCAAACACAGATACAGGGAGAGGAAGTGACCATGGCCACAGAACTAGAAACCAAATTGCAATTCACCTGACTCCACTATAGCTTGTCTCCATCAGAAGAAGGAAATCTTCAAAGAAAGAAAGGAAGAGATAGGGAAAGAGACTAGAGAAACACAAGAGGAAAAGCTGTAAAAAGACATGTAAAAACCATGAAGCAGGTATGAAACCATATAAAGTACGAAAACAGGAGCAACAGAAAAAGAAGGATATGGAAAGCAGAAAAGAGATTAAAAGGAAAAGGTGAGAGAAGTAACAGATACATCTAAGATTAGAAAAATATTTTTTACTCTATTTTTTGTGTTATTTTCATGACAGAATAATTAAATGGCTTTAGGTCTACTGTGAGCTATTTTAAACCAATGCTGGTTTAGAGATTATTGTTAGCCTTAAGTGTTCTGATCGAATACACATCAGGGTATGGGTTATATAACACACAGACTAAAAAGAGAAACAGCACTCAGTGGCAAATACTGATTTCAGTAAAACAGTATGTGGGAAGGACACATTTTTCAGGAAAGGCAATACCATAAAGGAGCTCAATCCCAACAAATGTCAGTTAGAGATGTTACACCAGTGCCATGCAGACAGGTACTCCATAAAACTATGTATTTTATGTCACTCTGCATTGGTTAAGCAAATTGATACTGCTTTTCATGTCTTATTTTTTACAACCAAACCCAATTAAACTATGAAGACTTGCTATAATTACACATAATAAACATTGTATTAAACGTTTTAGTGCCTGTATATTTTTAGACTTTTGGTAATTCCTTAACTAGGTACCTAATAATGTTTTTATCTGTTCTAATATCTCATAAATCAACTGTGCTGTAACCCTCAAATCTCAGATGTCCAGATTCCTAGTCACCTACTCGAATGATGTAATTTCTCCTAGCTCTGTTGAATGACAAGATGAATGACTGCAAACTCATCATTACTCTTGAATCCATTGTTATTCAAGTCACATCACTGCACTTTCTCTATAGGCACAAAGCAAGCTATGAGTGCTAAGCACCATGTCTAACTCAGACGGAGCACTGAGAATTATGTCATTTGGACAGCTATTAGAGTTAAGCAAATGCAAGGATCTCATTACCCAATAGCTGATTACAATAATCCCACTATCTTGTTTTTACAGAGCATGTATCTGTTTGCAAGTGTAGGGGGACATGTGTGACAGGTTTGGAGGTAGTCACAGATGATGGGAAGCTCCTCTGTCAGATGACAGATTAAGATATCCTTGCATTGAGCAACAGTAGTAGGAGCAAGTGCCCACACAACCTGTGTGTGTGTGTGTGTGGATTTGCAGTATTCAGAATCTGGACTGGGTTCCTTAATTTTGAGAATAATGATGTTTATCTGTGCATACCACAGTAATAGTCCCTAGGTTGTATGTACTGTGAAAGCATAAAGACAGCCAGACTATTCCTGCCTTGTATAACTTAACCTTTAAATATAAAAAGCAGATGAAAGTTGTGTTGGGAAATGGACAGACAGTGGACTTGCCAAGATCAGAGCAGGTTAGTGACACTGTAAGAATAAGTCGTGGTTTAACCCCAGCCAGCAACTAAGCACGACACAGCAGCTCGCTCCTTCCCAGCTAGTGGGATGGGGGACAGAAGCAAAAAGGTGAAAGTGAGAAAATTGGTGAGTTCAGATAAAGACACTTTAAAGGCAAAGCAAAAGCTGCACACGCCAGCAAAGCAAAACAAGGAATTGATTCACCACTTCCCATGGTCAGGCAGGTGCTCAGCCATCTCCAGGAGAGCAGGGCTCCGTCCTGCGTACTGGTTATGCGAGAAGACAAACACCTTCACTCTGATGTCCCCCTCTTCCTTCTTCTTTCCCCACTTTTTATTGCCAAAAATGATGTCATATGGTATGGGACACCCCTTTGGTCAGTTTGGGTCAGCTGGCCCAGCTGTGTCCCCTCCCAACTCTCTGCGCACCCCCAGCCTGCTCACTGGTGATGTGGGAAGCGGAGAAGGCCTTGACTCTGTGCAAGCACTGCTCAGCAATAACGAAAACATCCCTGCCTTATCAACACTGTTTTCAGACCAAATCCAAAATATTGCCCTATACCAGTTACTAAGAAGAAAATTAACCCTAGCCCAGCCAGCACAGAGTGGAATTAGGATTACCTGAATCCCAATCCTATAGGCTGTCCCCTAGGATGTGCAGTTGTACTGCATAACAGCAGGAACCAAAATAAGCTTTGTCACATCAGATTCTTCTGCTAGTTTTTGGAAAGAAACAGGGACACTCAGATGGAGATTCAACCCCCCAATATATGCATCACCTTCTGAAGGCAGGCATTGCTCTCTGTTGTGTGGTGGGAGCTACATACTGCATCTGCCCTTGGGTTTGCCAGTTATATACCTCAAGTGTAGTATGTCCCTAAAACCTGACTATCCCTTACCCACTCATCCAAAAGCACACAGAATTACAAACATGGGAAGCATGAACATGTTGATAATCAGCCAAGCCATAGTTTACCATATGCATCACTTGCTACTTGTGATTTCTCACAACTAGTACAAACTGGAGGCAGGTGAAAGCTCCTAGCTCTTTCCTTACTTTTTTGTTGAGGGTGGAGGGGTGGGTTTGAGCTGGATGTTTTCTTTCCTTCAGTCCTGCTACCTATAAAGTCCATTAAATCACAAATACATTTCATGCATCCTTATGCATTGTTAAACCATTGCCTAATAAATTCCAGTAGTTGTGCCACCAGCATAAAAGAGAAGAAATTGCCCATAATACCAGGAAATCCCACCCCCTGTTTTGATTTCAGTTCAGCCATACTTTACAACACAAAGGCCCACAGACCCACCAGGTGCTAATCAATTCTGGGCTGAAATAGGAGGGTTTCCTTAAGAACCACTAAGTGGTTTTGCTCCCTGTTTTGTCCCTCAGAAAAATGAAGGAAGATTTTTTTATACATGATAAGGTGATTTTCCAAAGAACACGGTTCATTCATCTCAACAGACATCTAAGATAAAATTAAAGCATTTAATTTAAATTAAAAAAAATAATAAAGCATTTTAATTTAAAAGCATGCTTCAGATATATCTTGTGTGCTACAAAACGTGTGCTAAAGGGAACAAATGGTTTTTGTTCCCTGGGAAAGGAAATTGCACATTAGTGTTTTTCCTGAAGATTTGAACATGTTTTGTCTGACATGTCCACTGTATCTTTAGTTCTCCTGGTTTTGACTGGGATAGAGTTAATTTTCTTTCTAGTAGCTGATACAGAGCTGTGGTTTTAGATTTAGTATGAGAATAATGCTGATAACACACTGATGCTTTAGTTGTGCTCAGTAGTGCTTACCCCGATCAAGGACTTTTCAGTCTCTCATGCTTTGCCAGTGAGGACGGGCACAAGCCTGGAGGGAGCATGGACAGGACACCTGACCCAAACTAAGCAAAGGGATATTCTACACCATAAAACTTCACGGTCAGTATATAGACTGGGGGGAGTTGGCTGGGAGCCATAGATCACTGCCTGGGGATGGACTGGGCATCAGTCAGCAGGTTGTAAGCAAGTGTATTGTGCATCACTTGTGTTTCTTGAGTTTTACACATCTGTCTCTTTTTCCTGTTATTATTGTTGTTATATTTATTTCAATTATTAAACTGTTCTTATCTCAATCCACAGGTTTTACCCTCTTCCAAGTCTCTTCGCCATCCCACTGGGAGGTGGGGGTACTATAAGTGAGGGGCTGCATGGTGCTTAGCTGCCAGCTGGTGTTAAACCGTGACATACTCTCACAGTGTCACTAATCTGCTCTGATCTTGGCCAGTCCACTGCCCATCCATCTCCCATCCCAACTTTATCTGCTTTTTATATTTAAAGGTTAAACTCTACAAGGTACAACTTTTTAAAATACCACATCTGTTTAGAATAAATGAAATCCTTGTCAATATCAATTGATTTCTTAGTTGTCTTCTTGTGCATAATGCAAATACTACCAGCACACAATTAATTACATCTCAGCTTAATTACACTTTGTAATTTTTTTCTGCAAGTATTCTATGTGCAGAGCTGTATTGCCACATACAGTAATACACAACAAAGGACAATCACTTCATACATCCTTAGGGCTACATTGCAGATCTCTACAACACCATTTATATGGGTTTAGGTGCACTCTCTAGCATTTAAACACTAGAGAGCAGTGAGCAATTCATCAGCTGCTGCCTTGGACTGCTCAACCCCGAGTTCCTATGCAGTCAGTGATGTGGAATAGCTGCAATACCTGCTCTCCTCTGACCAGTTGCTCTCTTACACTGAGAGAGCCAAAGTTACGCCCTAAAACTACAGAGATGCTCTCACTCTGGTCACTTCCTAGCAACTGAATAGGAATTATTCATGTAATGCACTTTCATGGAAATGTTTCTGTTAGCTTTGGGTTAAAGAGCTCATTTTTTTCCACCGGGCTAAGGTAAGGTGCCCGTGGACATTTGACAAACAGAGGCCGAGGGGTATACTATAAACTGTGCTCTGTTGCATTATGGAACGCAGCTTGGGCCACAGGACAGAGTTCAAAATAAAATGACATTCATTGTCTTAAACAAGATATCTCTAAAGGGAGATCAAAAGGCCACAAAGCCATGAACAAAGGCCACAAAGGCCACATCCATGAACACGTAGCATAGTGCAAAAGGGGCATTTCCATAGAGTGAAGCAGTCACTGGCAATTACACTGTATGTATTATGTTTGTTTTGCACTAGCTCTAGTCTGGTGATGGACAGAATGTCCATCAGCAGTGGAAGCACACGAGGCGCACTCCTGCAGTGCCTCTCATTGTCCCACCCTACACAAAGCCGGTTTGCCTGTCCCAAGACCACTTTGCACTGCAAGTCAAAGCAGAGCAAATCAGGACACTTGAGAGCTTAGTGTCAGAGGTGCGCTTCTGATCTGAACTGTAACACTAACGACCATAAGAATATATATTGATACTTCTTAGGCATGAACTGAACTGCTGCTAAAAACAATGCAAAGACTTGGTTGACTTCATCATTGGAGCTTCCCTTCCACATGATGTGAAGGAAAGGGACAAGGATGAAAAGATTAAGGGAACGAGAGAGGAAGGAGTGACCACGTGTCAACCACCAGTGACACATTCTCTGCAACTAATGATTTTTAAAACGGTGTGATTTTGGTACACGGTTGAATGGAGGCATTGAAGATGGGATAATCATTCTTGACTTCTCCATGCAGTAGGAACTGTTGAACGGCCACAGACCACAGTATTAATGACACTTTAACTGTGACTCAGCCACTCTTCCAGCGGAAGGGTTCTGGAATATGTATTAGGAAGTAATACAGTCCAGGAATACTCAAAGGGCTGCAGAAGCTGGGCCAGGATTCCTTGAAGGCTCCTGAATCAATATGTGTACAGGGTCATGCTAAGCCTCTTCCAACATTTTCAAGGTCTCATGGAAAAGCTAATCATAGCCTGTCATGAAATATCCAAAATGTTTGTGACTGTTCTGTTGACTCAGTATTACCAGCTTCCCTTGCCCCCCCCCTTTTCTTTTTCTCCCTTCATTTAACAGTATTCATGTAAATTAATGCATTTTGGTGTTTTAATCAGAACAACCTGCATCTGGTTTGCTCCTTTATTACTATCAAGTTTCTCAGGCTCTGTGGAATATGCAAAGATTAGCTCATACTGACATGTGAGGCAAACAAAACTAAATCCAAAAGGGAGATGGACTAAACATTGGCTAAATGTCCAAGATGTGAAAAATTGCAGAAAACTGAGCACAGAGAACAAAAAATACGGGTTTTGTACAGAAAAGTTCACCTGCTTCACCAGTAGAGCTCAATGGCTGCATGTGAACCCGATTGTGAGGAGGAGAGCTCAAAACAATTAGTGTGTTTCCTAAATGGTTACAGCCTGATAAACCCACATACTGAGCGCTCAAGTTCTGTGCTATGCTTTGGTTCTGTTTCATCGCTTATGAGTTCAAATCATACTGTGTTTATGCAAAGCTCCCATTTAAGTCAATGATTTAACAGTAAGAGGTGAGTTATTAGGGCATCGTGTTTATTTGAATTATTAACACAGGAACTCTATCTCCCTGCTTTGTTTGGCATCTCTAAACCCCTCGTGCATGGAGGGGTCTGTGACTTTAAAAAAAATCCCTAATACTTTCAGTGCTTCGTGTCCCTTCCACCAGTGATGAATTCCTCTTACACTCGATAAATACTTCCTCAGCTTGCCCTTGTCCCTCAGGGAAGCTCGTGTTCTGCTTTCACCACTACAAACAGACGCGTTTATAAACCTAGCGCTAGCCGTCAGGAACCCATCTCCTTACCATGGCAGAACATGCCTCATCTACTCGGGGATTAGCTGCGGGGAAGGGGGAGCTGACATGAAGCTACCGTGTTTGTCTCACTGCCTCGCTCTAAAGGCGGCGGCTGGAACACAGGCGGGCTCCCGCTGCAGCCCGCCGCTCGGGTGAGGGGACCGCGGGGCCTGAAGGAACGGGCCCCCCACGGCCGTTACAGCCTCCCCTCAGCCCCAACCGACCCCGCGCGCGCGCGCCCGCCCCGCCGGAAGCGGCTGCCTCGCGACACCACCCCCTCCACCGCCCGCGGTGCGCGCGCGCGGCAGTGCAACCACTGCGCCTGCGCTGCCCCCGGCCCCTGGCTCCCGCCCCCTCCCCTCGAGGCGCCGGTGGGCGGGGCCTCGCCCTGTGACGCTCGTGCCTCTGCGGCGCCCCGCCCCCTCCCTCCCTCCCTCCCGAGCGCCGCGCGCGGGGGCGGTGCCAGGGCTCCCCTCGGCCGCACCGCCTCTCCCCGCCCGGCCCCGCCCGCCACAGTCGCTGCTCCAGCGGGCACCGGAGCGCGGCCCGCCGCCGCCCCGCCGCAGGTGAGTTGCGGGCGGCACCCGGGTTGAAGGGGGGAACGCGGGCAGGCCTCGCAGCGAGGAGCTGACTGGCGCCTCTCCACCGGGGGATGGGGCGGTGAGAGCCCGGCGAACCCGCCTCGCCCGCCGCAGGGGGAAGCGTTCCGGTGCGGCGGGAGCTGTCGGGAGGGCGGGCGTCCCCCCCCGCGCCCGCCGCTGTCCCCAGCCCCAAGGGGTTGCCGCTGAGGTGCGGCTGCCGCCCCGCTGCCCCTGGCCGGGCGGTTTGTGCCTGGCGGCCCCGCCCCGGGGTGTGGGGAGAGGCGGGCGCGGGCCGCAGCCTCCCGCGGGGGCCCGGCAGCCGCCACCCGTCCCTTCTCTGAAGGTTACGGGCGTCGACCTTGGGGGCGTCCCGCCCAAGGCCTGCCGTTGCTCGCCGCGGCGCTGAGGGGAGTGGGCGGCGGAGGGCCCGGGGTTGCGAAGGGGTCCGGCAGCCTTCCGTGGCCGCGGGAACATGGGGCAGGTGCGACGTCCCCGTCCTCGGGGAGCGGGGTGACCGCGGCCAACGCCCGCACCTGAGGGGGGCGGAGCGCGGCGGCGCCGCCTGTGCCCGAACAAAGGGGCCGGGGCTCTGCTCCCCGGCCGGGCCCGTGTGCCGGAGCCGCGGTGCGCCTGTGTGCGCGATGCAGCGTCGGGATGAGCAAGAGCAGTGCCCGTGTGAGGCTGAATCGCTGCTCTCGGCTGTGGTAGTGCACCCTAAAAGGCGCTGCTGGTAACGATGGCTTGACCTGGCCTACAACAAAAGGAACAAGTACAAAGTACGCCTATTAAGTCCCCCCAATAAAAGGTGCCTTTCAGTGCTCACATACTGGGTTCGGTAAATAATCTGGTGTTTGCTTTGGGGTTTCTTTTAAATGGAAGCTGATAGCTTCAGCTCCTTCCCCTTAATTGAGTCTGTTTAAAAATGAAGATGTTAAATGGGCCATATGTATTCCAAGAGTCACCCGGAGAGGCATTCTTATGCCTGATCTGCCTGTCTGATCTGTACATCCCTGAACTGTCCTGGCAGAAAGACTGCCAACATACTCGTTTTCAAACTCGAAATGACCCTAATGTTTTGTTTCAACTTCGTGTTTCCAATTCTCATTGGAAAGAGACTTTGCATTCTGCAGTGCAAGCCTTTAGACTTGTATGAGTTGAAGTGATCCATTCCTCTGGCATTTTGATGTCTGGAGATAGATAATGGAGAGGTCTGCACAGAAAGCTGTCAGTCATTCTTCGTCTTTCAATCAAAGTCTGAAAAGAGAGGAGCTGGATGGACTGGGAGAAAATGTTGACTATTTTGTTAGTTATCAGGACAATTAAGTGATTGTAACTGGATTATTTTCTATAACTGGAAAATCCTCTTCTTTTCAGCTGACTTATTCGTCTATTAGCATGCACCTCAACATTTAAATCGTGGGAAACCATGAGCATTCTTAATGGAATGAAGAACAACTGTGTGATATGTAAATCTCTGATGTTGAAACCCTTCAGTCTATGCGTGTGACACAGCTTGTCAAATGTTGTTTGAGGAAGCCTCCGAATGGCAGAAATTGTGGGAATTGTCAGTGTTGGTGATGGGTTTCCCTTTTTTATTATTTTTCTGTACAAATGTGATATACAGAAAGATCAAAAAAAATGCTCTTTTTTGGCATGAGAGGCCAGCTGTGGGGTTAAATGAGCTGTAATACTAAAGAGTGAACTTATTCCTTTGTTACTGCACATTCTTTGAGCTCGGTCTTCTTCTGAGTTTGAGGAAGGGAAAAAATGTAACAATTTTAATGTGGAGTATTTTGAGTTGCGTGTACTCTGGCAATGTTGAAATAATGTTGTCTTTATTGTTTCTGTGTAGACCTTAAGGAGAGGATCTTTAGCCATGAAAGAGAAAACTAGAACAACATCTAGCTGTGTGTTTGTTGTGAATTCTGTCACCTATGGGCATGTATTTATATCTATTTGTATATATATATATAAATAATCAACAGAAATAGTAAGCTGGCTGAGGGGGGCTGGGGGGCAGGGAGGGATGTGCCTGAGGATAAAGCAGTGCTGGCTAAAAGCAACCATGGAGGAGCACATGACTGTTGAGTGGTGTTGGAGACCTTGCAGTGGTCCACGTGTCTTCTGTATTCCAGCTGACTTGCATAAGGACAATTGTGTTCTTAACCTCACTTAAGGCATGCACTGGCGTCCCTGCATATACCTGTTGCAAGGGATCACCCTGCAAGAGGGATGTTCTGTCTACAGTGAGCTTTTACTCCTGTTAAATTTCAGGTGTGTCTGCCTTGGAAGGAAATCATTGCTGAGGTAAAGGATGTTGCTGTGTTAGGAACTGATATATGGCAGTCTTGGGTATCAAAGAGTGATACAGGCACAGCGGCTTGTTATGTAAAAAGTTGTTTTGGCAACTGTGTTTTGGCTCTCTTACAACAGCATTGTTTTCCCTGCAGTTTCACAATTGAAGAAGAAATAGTTATATGATAAACATCTTTTAATTTTGTGATTATGTTTGTTTGGTTTGCTGCCTTAGCAAGTGGTATAGGGTACAGTGGTCCTGGGAGTAAGTCGGTGATGTCATGTGTTCTGAACAGGGAACTCCTCATCCCCTTGAGAGTGCTTACAGCCAGCTTCCAGTAAACTTCTAATGGCTCCAAGCTATTGAAGTTACTTTGCATCTAAATTGAAACCTGTTTTAAGTGAACAAGGTCGTTTAATAGGCTAGTGACAACATTCTTGTGAGCATATAATAGCCTGCCCGCATCACACACACAATTATGGGACAATTGTTTTAAGTCTCCTTCCTCCCTTATGAGGAATTCACGTGAGGAACCAAGAAAATAGAACAGTTGGTAGAATTACAGTACAGCCATTGAACGTTCTGCAGAATGTTTTATGTTTTATAAATTACTAAGTAGGGAAGCAATGGTTATATGTTATTAGTCTGTTGCAATACTTAAATCAGCTCTCAGGGTAGTTCTAAAATGTTATTAGTAACTCTTACTGTCTGCAGAATGTGAAATTATTTGTAGTCCTTTTGGATGTAAAGAACTCAAGAGTCACTTTAACTATAGCAAATGTGTCTTGCAAACAGACCAGGGAGGTATTAAAGCCAGTTTTGCTTCTCATTTTGTTTTCCTAACTATTGTGAGTCAGAGTGAGCACTTACCAACCAAGGATATGTCAGTGTGTACAGCTGCTTGTCAGATCTGTTTGGGAGATGTGCAACCATCAGGTTAGGCTTATACTCTGAATCTCAGGAGCTCTGCACAGCAGCAAAACCAGTCTGAAATCCCTACAGATAAAACAGCACTGAGTTTATGGATGGGAGCAAGTTGGAAAGAAATGTATCACAGGCTAAGTAATCCCACTTTGGAACTACCCCATGCTATAACTGGTTCCCTTTGCCTAGAGGGTGGCTTAGTCTTTACTACTAGTGTTTTGTTTCAGCTTAGTTTTGTATCTTTCAAAATCCCAGCACCTTCAGGGCAATAGAGTGATAACACTGGAGTGTCCAGAGACACTGTGCACAGAGAGAGAAAAATGGAGAGAGAAAGAGAGAGAGAGTTGTGTAGGAGTCGTGAGAGAACACAAAGAGAACACATTTTTAATGAAAAATAGTTACAGTAGAGAATTCAAAGTGAGCTATGCTGTAATCAGTTTATAATGCTAATGGGGAGAGGAGCCAAGAATGCAAAGAAGGTAGCACAAACAAGACATATAAAGAGCTGGTTGCATAGTAACTCTGCAGTCATTACTTTAGTGGAATTGATGGTGCTTATTTTGTGATACTGGCTCCTTAGTCTGAGGAATTACAGTATACATTGAGTTCCTACCAGTACAGTTCATTTAATGTATTGTGTTTGTAACAGTAAGTTTACTCTACATCATTTGATGTGAGTGTGTGGGAGTGTCTGGTGCAGTGGCCCACAAGGTTTCATTTAAAAATGGCATGTAAATACACTGTATGACCAAACAAGTATTCCTGCAAATTATTGAAAATGGGATTTTGCAAAGAAGCTTGCCATTTGCGCGTGGTAGGTAGGTAGTAGGGATCAGCCATGCATTCAGGCCTTGGTACCTGTTCCATTTTACTCTCCACAATGCTAACTTAATACCCTCCTGTGCTACTGTTAGACTTGATCTGTAACTCTGATCCTTGTCTCCAGCAGTCTGAGAATGCTTGTGTAACACCCACATATAAACAGGCAGAAATGTTTCCGTTAACATTAAACAGAGTGTAGTAAACATGGAAGTTTTCCAGACAGGTCCTTCTCTTTGCTAGGACACCCATTCAAGCCCATGAGACACTTCAGGGTAGAGCTGACCTGTCATTTGAACAGTGTAGTCTTGTTGGTATAGCTGTGCTGTTTCCAGAAAGGGCTTTTAGCGTAGAAGTAGAAAATTCCAGCAACATTTTTTTCCAATGGGATTTTATCTCAGACATCAAAATAAAAGCAGTTATACAGACAGGAAAACAATGTTAATGTGACCCTCTGCAGTCATGCCGTGTCAGTCACAAAACCCACCCTTGACGGGTGAAGTCACGT